GCACGAGTTCCTTCCTCGTCCTTGGAGTGGGAAAGGACAAGATGGCTCTAACGTTTGCATCCTTGGGTCTCACCATACCATGCCCAACGATGTGTCCCAGGTAAGTCACTGAGGCCCGGCCAAAAGCAGATTTAGCCAGGTTTATGGTGAATCCAGTCTCTTGCAGTCGTGCAAACAGTATCTCCAAACGCACCAGATGTCGTCCCAGCTGTGTTTAATAATTCACTCACCAGGTCATCCAGGTAGGCGAACGTCCCAACCCAGGTCCCGGTGAATTAGAAGTTGATGGCCCACCGAATGGCCGAGCATTAGAAAGTTCAAACGCTATAACCAAATATTGAAAAGACCAAATGAGTTATAAATGCCGAGATTATTTTTGGCTCCATCCGTGAGTCCTGATAATATCCTTTCAATAAGCCCATCGTACTGATAACGGCATGTTTCATGCTGTCTATTATATCTTCAATCGCAAAGGGTAGGGAGTCTGAGACACAGTGACCTGGTTCACTTTACGACAATCGGTACAGAAACGAAAAGTGCCATCGGGTTTTGGAATGAGAAGGCAAGGTGAAGCCCAGGGGGAGGTACTAGGCTCAGCTAAGTTATGTTTTAACAAAAAATCTACCTCCTTTTTCAAAAACTCTTTTTTTTGTGGATTTAGTCGATAGGCTGATTGCCTAATGGGTTGTACATCATCTGAGATTAGCTTATTATCATGTTTAAGTATATTGCAAAACCCTGGGAGGTCTGATGTAACTTTAGGAAATGTTGATAATAACTTAGTGAGATCTTTTGCTTGAGATGGATTCAGAACAGAAAAATACTCATCCAAGTTGTTGAGTATGTGACTGTTAGTAGGGTTTTCTTTAGGTAGAGGGAAGTCTAAATTCTCCAATAGGTCCATGTCATCTGTCTCTGTCTCCGGCCCTGACAAAACCGAATGCAATACAGGTTGACTTATAGCCTCTGGGATGTCTTCCTCTGACTGCCTGGAATGGTAAAGTTTCATGAGATTAATGTGAACAAGTTGTGAATCTTTTCTGCGATCAGCAGTATGAACTATATAGTTTAGGGGAGATAGTTTATTAGCATTGACTTGAAAGTTTTGATGGAACCGTTCCAAGCAACCTTGGGACGGTGGGTGGTAAGCCGAAGATGTACAATGGTCCACACTGGGGTCTTTCATCACCTGTTTGAACAAAGATGGATCAGATTGTTGAACTGTAATGAGCTCATCCCTACTAATGGTCTTATTGTACAGATTGTCTGTGGGTAGTAAGATATTGGAGGTGGTTTCAGATGAAGAGGGCCCACTTCGCACACTCTGTGACCGGGTGACAGCACAAGATGGGAAAAGATGAGGAATAGTTTCTTTAAGGTCAGTGGTGGAGTTGACAGGTAAGGGAGAATCGACTGTCTTTATGTTAGGAACCACTAGATCTCCTACCAAGTCATTACCCAATAATAAATGAATGCCGCACACAGGCATTGGGTCTTTCCTTATGGCTATTTGCACTTCCCAGTAATCAAGGGACATTGGAGGTGCACTTTAGCTAAAGGATAGGAAGAATGGGATGAGAGATCCGAAATTAGAACACTCTCATTAGTAAATGCGGTAGATATATCAGGAATGACGTTAACCAGGAGGATAGATTGTGCTGCGCCCGTATCACGTAGTATACGAATAGGGAAAGAACGAGACCCCTCCATGATTGAAATTTTTCCCTCATAGGTGAATGAAGAAAAGAGATCCTGATGGGGCCTTTCCACATTGGTGTTTGTTATTGGTTTGGATTTGGGATCCAGGGAACTACTTTTAGCAATTCGACACTTTGGGTGTTTACAATTCTGGATCGTATGGCCTGGGTTTTTACAGTAAGAACAAGTAAGCTTGGTTGCATCGGGGGGAGTAGGTGTGGGACCTTTCGACCTACCACTCACGTTCCCAAGGTTATCATCAGAGGATAACTGTAACATGTCAAATGGGAAGCACTCACGTCTCTACTGCCCAAAGTGACTCCACCCAACAAAGGATGATCAGCCAGCTCAGCAGCACGCCCCTGCCCAACCTTCCACGCTCCCTCCACATGCTCAAGATGTGAAATGTATCTTGCTCTTCCACTCCTCCAGGACTACCAAATTTAACAAATCCTGAAATGTGGAGGTCTCTGTAGCCTCTAACCACTTCTTAAAAAACCTAAGCTTTTCTTGAGCAAACTCAACAAAGGTGTGTGAAAATGGTTTGGTTAGTTTACGAAACTTCTGCCGGTATCCATCTGGCGTGATAGCATAAGAGGTGAGGATATTCTTTTTTACGTTATCATAATCATCAGTCTGGTCTAAACAGTTATAAACTCTACGAGCCTTACCACATAATTTAGGAACTAACACTGACACCCACTGGTCCTTGGGCCACTCATTCTTCCCGGCTATTTTCTCAAAAGTCCTAAATGACCCGTCCATATCGGATTCATCAAACCCGGGAACAAGGGAAGAAGCAGTAGCAGGGTTAAAAGCAGCCAGTTTCTCTCTTAATGCCACTTCTTTTGATCTAAACTCCGATGTTAAGGTGACTTCTATCTCTCTTACCTGTAGTTCTTTCAGTCTAACCTCCTGCTCCAACTTGGCCCGTTCCATCATTTCCTCGTGCTCCAACTTTTGCTCCATCTTGGCCTGTTCCAACTTGGCCTGTTCCAACTTTTCTTCATGCTGCAACTTGGCCTGTTCCGACCTTTCTTCAGGCTCCAACTTGGCCTGCTGCTCCAACTTGGCCTGCTCCAACTTGGCCTCCTTCTCCAACTTGGCCTGTTCCAACTCTAGTTCTTTCATTTTGATTTGGAACTCGAACCTAGCTCGTTCTAGTTCTAAGGCGTCTATTCGTTGTGTTTCTTCTTGAGGGCTAGCCAGACCTGAAGCAACTTCTGAGTGAGGAGGGGTGGTGGATAGTGGTTGAAGTTTCTTGGACATGGGCGTTAATCTGTCAACAGCGGATTCTTTTAAAACTTCATGTTGAACCAGCACTTCAATCACATGATTTTTTAACATTTCCTTAGTCAGTTGCTGTGAAATGGGATATTATAATAGTTGGCTATTTCTTTCCATTCTTTCTGTGATATTAACACGTAATTTGAGCTACGGAAGCTGATTTCACAAAACTTGAGATCAAAAACCTGAGGTGCCATTGTTAAAAAATAGATAATTTAACTAATGGTCCAAAGATAAGATAAGTGGATAACTTAGAAATATCACGGCAGTGGATAACCAGAAAGTCCCTGAAAACTAACCAAGTTATACCTAGGGAAATTACACTTATGATTATTGTTCTTCCGAGAAGATCCTTAGATAAGGATAAGAGACTTGAAAGAGGTAGGGCGTATTACGGCATTAATATAAAGATCCGGATTAACAACCCTGATATACTTGAAAGAGGTAGGGCGTATTACGGCATTAATATAAAGATCCGGATTAACAACCCTGATAAATGGTATGATTGACCCTGAATGAGATAATAAGAACAATAATTGAGGCTTTATAATTATGGGGTCCTGGTAGAGCGTGGCGTCCCAAGATATCACTTCACCGTAAACTAGTGACTATGGAACAACCTACTCTGGAGTGAGGGTACGGCATTAAACAGATACGGATTCTTCCCAACACTCGATAAGACTTACTACACAACTGCCACGTGTAATAACAGGTAAGCCTTATGACACTTGGAACCTAATATCCTACGTCTGTCACTCTTACTATACGATAATACCAATATATGCACACACATATGAAGGGAACTTTAAACTACCGTAAAGCAATTGAGAACAGAAGTGACTGGGAGGAATAATTAACACTGAGTAACAAGGGAGGAAGGAATATGGTACTTAAGGTCGTGTCCTGTCACGGTCGCCATTTGTTACGAGTTGGGGATTTAGAATATAGTTATACGTCTACCCAGATCCCAACAGGTAACAACAATAAAAAAACAAAACAAAGACAATCGGACTATAAAAGGGTAGACAAAGGATGCGAGTTTTCGTTGTATATAATAAAGTACCATAAATCCCTTAACAAAATATTCAGCTTATAAATTACCCTTAACCAAACTTAACCTAAACATTAACAGTATATACATATTAATACAACATAAACAATTTTGAAGCAAGTGGACGTGGGGGAGGTAATACAAGATACATGTACTTAAGTGAGGAGCTGAGATGGCTGACGAGTAAGGCTGAGTATTGTAGAAGACGGTAGGTAGTCACTGCACGTAGGTTTAGAGGATAGATGATCCTGTGGTCACTTCCCAGAGCCAAGTCCCTCTCCTCGAATTGGAGCTGACAAAGAAGACTTTGAGGAGGTGACGCAACCCAGGATATGGAGAAGGGAAACCTCGGAGTGGTAACTAAGACGAGTCATACTCGTGTCTCGTCCCTAGATGGCGTTGCTCGTGGTGCTGGGTAGGTAGATCAGGACAATAGATGGCGTGCTTCGTAGTGCTGGGTGGAGGGTTCAGAATAATATAATGAACGACCTCACCAGCAAGGTGAGGTCGTTCATTATATGTTCAAAGTCCGCGTGTTATATGGACTAAAAATGAAGTATATATATATATATATATATATATATATATATATATATATATATATATATATATATATATATATATATATATATATATATATATATATATATATATATATATATATATATAGGCTATATAAAATCTCACGGGAAAAGTGAAACAACGGAGCACCTTAGCTTTCGTCTTTATTCAAGACATCTTCAGAAGCAACTGGATTACATGTACAGAGAGAGGCTTAAATATACAGGGTGACCTTAAAAACATGAGGTCAGGTCATAATGATGTCATCCACTAATCCCCACACCAACACACACGTAGAGGAGCTTAAGAGAAGGGGGGTGACGTGACTAGTGAGGTCAGGCCAAAAATAAGGGACCCACTAAATAACTATCATACATCTAGATCAAAGGTTTTCAAAGCATTTTTAACCTTGGGCCACTGGGAAGTTCCTTTTGAGCTCACTTTCCAAGGATTTCAAGTGCTGAATTATTTCATTTTTGAGTGATGGGTCAAGTAGATGATCCTCTACAATCTCGTCAAGAACAATTGAGATATTTTCAAACATGGCAACATTTCCTGCACTGACTTTCCTTTGCCAGTTCTGGAGTTTGTCAAAAAATGTACGAATACAATCCATGTGGTGAAATACATTTATTTCCTTGCCGTGCAGCTTGAGATTCAGCCTGTTTAGCTGCTCAAATGTGTCTGCCAGGTACGCAAGACGTGGCTCCCACGACACCTCGTTGAAGTGACTTAGTAGATCATCCTTCCCTTTCATTTCCAGGAACAACTTAAGTTCTCCTCGAAGTTCGAACACAACATTACCGGTGGAAGGCCTTCGCACTTTGTAGTAAAAGAGGAGGGTTTCATGCTCTGAATCCATGCCTCTACAAAGGTTCTGGAAAAGGCGAGAGTTCAAATCTCCTGTTTTCACAAAGTTGACGCATTTTACCACTACCTCCAGGATCTTGCAAAGGGCATCAGGAAAGGTTTTCGCCGCCAGTGCAAAACGATGGATCATACAATGAATCCCTTTGGCACTCGGAGCTACTTCCTTGACGTGTTTCTGTAATCCCGATTTCGATCCCAGCATCGCCGGAGCCCCATCAGTACAGCCTCCACAACAAATTTTTCCAGGTGATCCTGTTAGCTGTAAAGAAATAAGTCAACTTTCCCATCACATCTAAAGCTGTTGTGGTAGTTTCAAGCTGTGTACAGAACAGATATTCATCCTTGATGTCACTCAAGAATACATACCTAACAAACACGAGTAGCTGTGCACAAGAACTCACACCCGTTGACTCATCCAACTGTATTGCAAACATACCAGTTGGAGATGATTTAATCTCCTGTATCACTTGTTCCATGATATCATCTGACATTTCACTAATTCTCCGTTTCACCGTGTAGACTGACAAGGAAATCTGCTGAATCTTACGTTGACTTGCCTCTCCAAGAACCCGCTTGACCATCTTTAAGGAACACGGCTTAATTAAAGTTTCACCAATCGTGTGGGCCTTCTTCTTCTTTGCTATTTCAATGGAAACCTCATATGATGTCTCAACTACACTTAAGATCGGTTGTTGGAAGGCACCACTCTCATCCACTCTTTGTTTTCCCAAACTCCGTTCATGGCGCTTGAGGAAATCGGTGTCTCTCTCCTTATACTGGGGGGTGGATTGTCGTCAGATGATGCTTCAGCTTACTCGGCTTCATGGTATCGTTCTCCAGCACTTTGAAACACAACACACACTGAGGTTTCTCGATGCCATCAGCGAGGATTGATGTAATTCCGTAGTTAATGTATTCATCATTTACTTCCGCTTCTTAGCAACACTGGCAGCCATCGCAATTCTAAGGAAATTATAAAAAGAACAATGCCAAACAGACAGAAACAGACGAATGATAAAGACTAAAAATTATAATAAAAAACAGAAATATAAGACAATCATGAATCTCTTGGTTTTACTGAAAATTTGTAATCTCTCTCTCTCTCTCTCTCTCTCTCTCTCTCTCTCTCTCTCTCTCTCTCTCTCTCCCTCTCTAAATGTTGACTAGTTCTTTAAAAAAACCAGAATGTCACAGAAACAACAAATGATAAAGACTAAAAATTATAATAAAAAACCAAAATGAGAAAATAATTCGAATGGTAAACACACAAACATGCATGAAGTCCATACATACTGTATGTAAACATACATAAAATGCCTATGCAATCATAAGTAAAACATACACATACAGTCCACTCACAGTACACTCACATATTTTCTTAATGATATCTTGAGTCAGACTGAGAACATTCGGTCTGATCACTTGTAAAGCGATGACACACGGACATGCAAAGAATATGTGAGATCAGTGACTCAGTCCAGCGCCCGTCACCCTGCTGACAGGAACTAGAATCGTGCAATCTGAGCGAATCCGTTGGAAATGAAAAACTAGCTGCTGCACCATACTGTGTAAACTGTACCGTACGGGTATTATCATTACACACAATGACAAAAAACAAAAGATAAATAAAAAAATAAAAAGAATTCTCCCCTAACAAGGCAAAGTAACAAAGAAAAAAGTTGAATCACAGTTTCCACATTTTCTCCAAACATATACTACGTACACTAGCCCGACATGGCCCCCTAAATCTTGCCGTGGCCCCTAGGGGGTCATGGCCCCCAGTTTGAGAAACATTGCGAGACTGTATCAATAACTTTTGTCTGGGCCTGTACATCCATAAAATATAAGATGTATGTGTGTGTGTGTGTGTGTGTGTGTGTGTGTGTGTGTGTGTAAAGGAAACAACCCTCAATCTCGGACCAAGGATGATACCTTCCGCAAGAAGAAAGCGGCAGCCCAGCGGGAACTTCGCAAACTAAAAAACGACTGATTTAAAAATAAAGCGTGTGAAACACAAAAAAATGCAGATCAGCACAAGAAGCGCGTATTGTTTAATCCATTAAAACATTTTCTGGGCCAATCACTCGTGGCGCAGCCCCCTTCTGTTCATCCGACGGTAACTCCATAATAAAAATCGATGAACTGGAAAGAGCACTGTCATTCACTGCTCAACCGAAACACCGATGTGGATGTCCTGACACCCAACAGGTCCCTCAGCATCCAGAGCTGACCCATCTCAGCTATCCCCCATCCCTGGATGAGGTAGCAACTGCCATCAACAGATAAAAAATAACAAAGCCTTAGGGCCGAGGTGTATAAAGCAGGAGGACCTCTGCTTACCAGCCGTCTTTACTCTCTCCTGGAGAATTTATGTGAAAGGGAGACATTCCCCCAAGCTCTGAAACATGCCTCCATCGTTAATATTTAAAAGAACAAGGGAGACCAATCAGACTGTGGCAACTACCGTGGGATCTCGCTGCTGTCCGTAGCTGGTAAGATTATCGCCCGAGTCCTCCTAAACAGACTTCTTCTTGAGGCGAAAAACTTCCTCCCAAAATCTCAATGTGGCTTTAAATCACCAAGTAGCACCACTGACATGATCTGTGCTGCCCGTCAGATACAGGAAAATTGCAGAGAACAACATCGTGACCTGTACATGGCTTGCATCGACCTTACCAACAGGGAAGCCCTCTGGTGGACCCTCAGCCGTTTTGGCTGACCACCATAAGTCATCCGCATTGTGAGGCAACTCCACGATTGCACGAACGGCAGTGTCCTGCACAAGGGCACCCAGTCAGAGTTCTTCCCCATCTAAACGGGAGTTAAACAACGGTGTGTGCTGGCACCAGCTCTCTTTTCCTTTTTCTTGGCTGTCTTCCTTACTTGTGTCAGCCCCAACTTAGCCGGCGGGGTGGACATCGAGTACAGAATGAAGGGTCTTTTCAACATAAGACGACCCCATGTAAGAACAGAGGTGTCGGCAGCTTCCATTACTAAACTACAGTATGCAGACGACCTCACCCTTGTCGCTCACACTGAACGCGACCTACAGGAGATCCAGAAAACCTGCCCTTAGTTCAGCCACACCTCCACCATCCATGCAGCTTAACAGCACTACCCTCTCTAATGTTACCCACTTTCGATATCTCGGCTCCCATCTGTCCATCACCGCGGACATCGATGAAGTGATTCAGCATCGGATCAGATGTGCATCTCAAGCCTTTAGCAGACTCCGAAACCGTGTCTTCAGCTTTAGGGAGCTGAAATTATGTACAAAGCTACACGTATATCAAGCAGTGGTCCTCCTCACCCTGCTATATGGCAGTGAGACATGGGTTACATACAGGAGGCACATCAAGGCACTTCAAAACTTTTACCAATGTAGTATGCCTTCCATCTTCCGAGTTCGCTGGGAAGACAAGAGAACAAATGCCAGAATTCTTGCTGACACCAACTGTAGAAACATTGAGGCTACCATTATCCATATACAAATACGCTGGACTGGCCATGTTACCCACATGGACAACAGTAGACTGCCAAAGCAGCTACTTTACAGTCACCTAACGAAGAGTAATCGTAACGCTGGCGGACAACTGAAAAGATATAAGGATAGTCTTAAGACAAACCTGGTAATCGACCTCCTCACCTGGGAGACGATTACTCCACACCGTAACGCTTGGAGGACCACCACACAAGAAGGGGTCAATACTTTCAAATTAGCCTGACTGCATAACGAGGCAGACAAGCGCCAACACCAGAAAGAAGCTGCTGCCGACCTCCTGCATTAGATGTAGACCCCACATGTGCAACATTTGTGATCGACCCTGCCGGTCCTGTATCGGCCTCTTTAGTCACCTCGGATCTCACCAACCTAGGTGTACATCCTTAATAACTCATATCATTGTATCATAGCTGGAGGATCGTCATACTCGATTCCAAGTGACAGCAAAGTTGCAGTATGTAATAATAATAATAATAATAATTAACGATTATTGAAGAGCACAGCAGTCAAAGGCTGAAAATATACAATGGTAACATTGGGATTACAGTATTAGGTATAGTAGTAGTATTGAGGAGTGGATTACTTACCAAATCTGTCAATACAAAAAGGAGACATAGAGTGAAGATACAGGTTATTATTAATCACTGATAATTTGGTGTTGTGGAGCATTTCATATAGATGTTGAACTTCCCTCTCGGGTAATGTTGTAGAAGATGATATGTGGCTGTAGTATTTCCCTCTCCGTGTGGTATAGTCGGTCCCACACGGTATGGCGAGGGCTCTCTCACAACGAGGGTCCTATCATAGCACTGGAGTGTTATTTAAGCAAATGCTAACTCCCTCTACCCCTACCCCTCGGATGGTATGGTATTTTATTGACATTTTTACTGTCAATACCTGTATCAATTCTTTACGAGTTGAAAATATCGCTGTACTGTATAAGTATTATAGTGATTTTATCATCAACCCTTGCATTAGTGTCTTGGTGGGGATGGGGGGTTGTGGAGAGGTGGGAAAAGGGGGATTACAGGCAGGGCCACTGAAAGAGCGGGGAAGGATAAATTCCCGGGGCCTGGGCCTCTAGGGGTCCCGGGAAAAGGGATGTAAATATTTAATTAATTTGTAAAGTAGTTAATCGAATTAAACGGAACTCTAAAAATAGGTACATTGAACAAACTGTTTTAGATTTTTGTTTAACATTGTTCAAAGGCTAAATGGGAGCCCCAAAATTCATCTTTCCCCGAGGCCCTGGCAAGCTCTCGGCAGCCCTCGTTACCGGTAACCCCCTGGCCAAGACCATAGAAGAGGAGGTTAACATAAGCGCAGGTGGGTGGAGCTTTGCTGACTTCATCAAGTGGATTCCGGCGCTCCCTCCACTACTTCCCACCCCGTATAAACAGAACATTTTATTTTCCCATATACTGCACTGTATTATCTCAGTATTTCACTTAGAAAATAATACTAGTAGAGTGTCAAATCTTGCATAAAACTTTACCTAAGGACACAGAATGTACATATATATGCAGTACCAGAGAAGGGAAGGTTAAAAGAAAAGCAATGCATTTCAATTCTAGTTATGTAATTAGATAAGTGCAGTTTACGAAAGGTAAATTATAACTATATGTACACTAACGCGCCATAGTTTCCATGCACCCTCTACCCCTACTCCTGGCTCGAGGGAAGTCGTAGTAGGGCTGCAAACCGAACGGTCCCTCTTGTATAGTGATGTTAAGTATAGTAATGGTAAATAAAGCGTTGTGAAGTCACTAAAAAACCTGTATCGTGCATATATTCTCTCAAATATTACATCATGAACTGCTATTCGTACAATCCAGCGAAGCTTCGAGCTACCACATTACGCCACTGAACGATGAGTGGGAGGGGGGGGGGGTGGGGGAAGACGTTCGGTATGAAGCCAAGGCTACGACTTCCATTTAGTCAGGAGTAGGGGTAGACGGTGCATGGAAACTATGGCGCGTGAGTGTACAGTTACCCACAGAAGATCCTTACCTCCCAGTTGTACTAAATCTATTAATAAAGTGGGTATAAGGTAACAGGCGTTATGATGACATCACATCA